TGGCTTTCAGGGAATTCAGTGATTCTTAAGTTTTCTTTCCTTGACCAGTTTTCCAGGCCAGGTTTTGTTTTGGTTTGGTTTGGTTTTTTGCTATGAAATACTTCTCCTCATCTTCCTCTTCTTCCTTCTTCTCCTCTTTTGACTTTGAATATTTCTTTATGGAATCGTTAGCTTCTGTTTTATCCATCCTAATTATCAAGAAGTTCTTTTCTTGGGTAAGTTTTGTAGCTCTTATTTCAAGCCGTTAATTCTCTTTTCATATTTTCTATAGCCCTCATTTCTTTTTTCCACCTTTTCCTCTATTACTCTTATTTTTTTTTCAAAATCATTTTTGTGATTGTTCATTCATTTCAGTTGTGTCTGACTTTTTGTGACCCCATTTGGAGTTTCTTGGTGAAGATACTGGAGTGGTTTGCTTTTTTCCTTCTCCAGCTCATTTTACAGATGAGGAAACTGAGGCAAACAGGGTTAAGTGACTTGCCCAGGGTCACACAGCTAGGAAATGTTTGAGGCTGAATTTGAACTCAGGTCTTCTTGACTACAGGCCCAGCACTCTATCCCATACACCACCCAGCTGCCCCAAAATAATTTTTAGCTCTCTTAAAAAAAAAAACAACAAACCTCTCAGGCAGTCTGGTTAACTTGTGTCCAAGTTACATTTTTCTTTGAGGCTTTGCTCTTAAATATTTTTGAGTCATTCTCTTCTTTCTGCATTTGTGTCTTGAGTTTCCTTGCTGCCATAAGAACCCTTTATGGTGGGATTCTTTTTTTTTGGCTCACTCTTCCAGCCTACTCGACTGTGGGCATTATGTTAGTGCTGGAGTCTGCATAACACTGGGGGGACTATCTGGCCCGATCTCCTCTCTTCTGACATCCACCTGCTGTTTTCACAGCTCAGGCTGGGGGCTTGCAAGCTTTCAGTGCCTCCAAAGCGATGTGGTGGGGATGATTCTGCTTGCTGCCCTCCTGATCTGAGGCTCCTGATCTAGGTCAGTGTCTGTCGGCTTCTTGCTCACGGGGAGTTGCAGTAGACAGCTGCTTGTCTTAGCTAACAGTAGCTTCCTAGGAGGCCCTGCAGGTCAGAGGGACAGAACTTCAGCCTCCATTGTGATCTGGGACTCCTGCCTTGGTTACTCCACTGCTTCCATCCTGGGGAGGCTCAGACTGAGAACCCGCTCTGCTTCTAGGATCAGAGCCACACAACTACAGTTTGCTTCCGAACTGGTTCCTTGCCTAGTACAGAGGGCTTAGTAGTGATCACTCCTGTCTACCACTCTATTTCCAGATCCTTGACACTTCAGTCCCATGAGGGAACTGGGCAGCAGGTCGCCAAGCTGCTAGATGACCCCGGTTCCTGCACCCTGAGCTAGGTCAGGGGTCCCCTGGGATCTCTTTCAGTCCCTGGGTGCCTGTGCTGTCAACATGGCACTCTCTTGGCCAGACCCACTTTCCAGCGTCTGTACATATCTCTGTCTGTCTCCCCACGCCACTTTAGGCTGTACAAATGACCTTTTATGACTTTTTCTTGGCTTCCCAAATAAGAATTTGGTCTGGTGCATTTTCTAGACCTTTGTGGTGGAGGGGTGATGGGAGAGATGGGCTATACTTCTTACTGCTCTACCATTTTGAAGCCATCTCTGTCTTCAAATATGTGGATAAGGGAGTGGATTTGTTCTGTTTGGAATAAGAGCCATTCCCCAGTTGAGAAATTGGTCAAAGAAAATGAATAGTTTTCAGAAGAGGAAATCCAAACTACTAATAGCTATATGAAAAAGTCACTAATAATTAGAAAAATGCAACTTAAAGCCATTCTAAATTACCACATTGCACCCATCGGGTTGACAAAGTTGACAAAAAAAGGAAAATGACAAATGCTGGAGAGGCTGGGGGAAAACAGTACATTTTAACACAGTGCTGGGTGAAACTGAGAACTGGTTCAATCACTCTGGGAATCAATTTGGAAATAGGCCCCCACAGTTACAAATACTGTGCGTATCCTTTGACCCTGGGATATCATTTAGGGTCTGTACCCTAAGCAGACTCCACAGAGAAAGAGGAGAAGCACCCACCTATAAAAAAATAGAGCAGCTCTTATCATGGCGGCAAAGAATTATGAAGAGGATGCCCATCGATTGGGGAATGGCTGGACCAACTATGGCTTGTGACTAGAATGGGATGCTAGCGTGCTATAAGAAATGATTAAGGGGATGGTTTCAGAAACCTGGGAAGACAGCTAGGTGGCATGTTGGATAGAGCACTGGACCTGGAGTTAGGAAGACTTGAGTTAGAATCCTGCCTCAGAGACTTTCTAGCTCTGTGACTCTGGGCAAGTCATACACCCTCTCTCAGCCTGGGATGTTTGCTCATCTATAAAATGAAGATAATAATAGTACTTACCTTCCAGAGTTGTGATGGTCAAAGGAGATAATACTTGTAAGTTATTTGGAAACCTTAAAGTTCCATATAAATGTTAGCTCTTATCATTATTATGAATAGATGCAGAATGAAGTGAGCAGAACCAGGGAAAAAATTTATACGATAAGACCCTCATAACAAAAAACAGCTTTGAAAGAATTAGGAGCTCTTATCGGTGCAGTGACTAACTCTGCTTCCAGAGGACTCCTAATGGAACATGCTGCCCACCTCCTGACCAAGAGGGAGGGTCTTGAGGTGCAGATTGAGGCATAGATTTTTCAGACACAGCCATAGGGGGTATTTAGTTTGCTTGGCTAGGGACATCTATTACAAGTTTTTTGTTTTTTCTTTTTCTTTTTTGGTGAGGCAATTGGGGGTTAAGTGACTTGCCCAGAGTCACACAGCTAGTGAGTGTTAGGTGTCTGAGGCTGGATTTGAACTCAGATCCTCCTGACTTCAGGGCTGGGGCTCTATCCACTGCACCACCTAGCTGCCCCTGTTTTTGTTTTTTCAATAGGAGGTGGAGAGGAGTTAGGAAGGAGTCAAGGTAGATTTTTATATGAAAAAAACAAAATGTAAAAAAAAAAAAGTTGTTTGGTCCCAGAGAATAGAACCAGGAAGCAATAGATGGAAGTTGCAAAGAGGCAAATTTGGGCCTGATGCCTGGAAAAAACTTGCTAACCATGAGCTGTGCCAGCATAGATGGGCAGCCCGGAGGCCCTGGGTCTGCTCTTCTGGGAGCTCACCAGGCTGAGACCACGGTGTTACTGGGGTGATTCCTTTCGTGGTGCTTGCGGCTCTGCCTTCCCACTCTCAGTCTCTGTCCTCTGGCAGCAAAACCAATGAACACACTGCCCGTGTTTGCCCTGATCTGTCATTTTTGCCATTCGTGAGGCAGAGCATCAGGGTGGTTGTGCTTTCTGTACCTCCTTTATTAGCGATGCCACATGATGTTAATTGGCAATTCTTTGGAGAGTGTTGTATTCCATGTTTTTCAGCCATTCAGCACCAGTAGAATATTGATATTAAAAGAAGAGGCCTTTATTTCTTTTCTTAAAAATAAATTTTATTGATATTTTCTAGTTTTTTCTTTTTAACATTATGATAGTATCCCATGTATCCCTCCCCCTTCCCCTCTTAGAGAGCCGTCCTGTAGGACAAAAAGTATTTTTTGGAGAGGAAAAAAAATGAGTGCAGGTGATTGATTTGTTAAAAAAGACCAAAAACACTTGCAGTGTGTCACCCCTGTAGGATTCTCCCCTCCACCCATGGGTGGGCTGGGCCTGTCTTCTCAGCTCCATTCAAATCCTGCTGGTTACATTCACTTGTGAATTTTTTGTGTTCTTGCTTGTCACTGTATAGAGTGTTTTCTTGGCTCTGCTCACTTCCCTCTGCATCAGTTCATGGGGATCTTTCCAGACTTCTCTGTATCCATCATTTCTTATAGCACAATAGTATTCCATTCTCTTCACAGACCACACTTCCTTTAGCCCTTCCCCAATGAGGGGGCATCTAGTTTGTTTCCAATTCTTAGCTATCACAAAGAGTGCTGCTATCACTATTTTGGAGTATGTGGGGACTTTCCCCTTATCAATGACTTCCTTTGGGCATAAAATCAGTAATGCAATATCTGGGTCAGAGGCGCGTGTGTGTGTGTGTGTGTGTGTGTGTGTGTGGTGTGTGTGTGTGTGTCCACCCCACAGGGAAGAGCTCAGACTCCATTTAGGTAACCCAGTAAGTACGGCCGGTCGCACACGGGCCTCGGGGGCTGAAGGCGCTCTCGGCCGGACTGCCTCTGTGCACCCCGCACCGATGCGGTCCCTTCCTGAGCCCTGTGCTTGGAGCCCTCCCATCCCGGGAAGACGACCCACAGCCGGACCCCTGCAGAGCCCGGGCACCTGTGGGAGGCAGGACACGGGCAGCTCGGTGAGTCCGTGGTGGCTGGCCCAGCGGATGACCCTGCAGCCCCAGTGCCAAGGCTCAAGCCTGCGCTGTGAGCGTGCTCTTGCGTGGCCCGGGCGCTGCCTCCCACAGCCTGCGTGGTTTATTTCCCTTCGGGTCACGCTCCACGCTGCATCTCCAGAGCATGTGTGAGAGACACAGAGACACATAGAGATAGAGAGACGAGAGACTGGGGGTCTCGGATTTAGCTCTGGAACAGCCCTCCGGGCGCTCCAGGACTCCACGTAACAGAGGAGGAAACTGAGGCCCGGCTCGTCAGTCAGTGGATGCAGCCCCTTGCCGCCCCCGCCCCTGGCACCACGTGCTCCGTCAGTCCCAGCCGGGGCAGGGGAGCTAGGAGGCCTCGGGCGTCCCGGGCCAAGGCCCCCAGCGGGTGGGGCGGGGCGTGCGGGGAGGGGCAGAACGGCCTCAGAGCGCAGGCCTCGGCCTCAGGCCCCGCCCCCCCCCGCGCGCTCTCGGTCGCCCCGCCCCCGGCTCCGCCCCGCCGCCGCCGCGGGCGCGCGCGTGTCAGGCGCCTCGGCAGCCGCCATTTTGGAGTGAGTCGGCCCGAACCCCGAGCCCGCGGCGGAGCCGGTGAGGCCTGCGGCGGCGGCGGCGGCGGCGGCGGCGGCGGCGGCGGCGGTGGCGGCGGTGACGGAGCCGCGGAGCCCGAGGAGTGCCCGGAGCCCGGCGCCGAGGCCGAGGCGCAGGTAAGAGAGGGCCGGCCCCGGGGGGGGGGCAGCAGGCGCCCCCCGACCCCCCCCTCCTGTCCCCCGCTGCCTCCCCCGGCCCCAACCCCCCCCCGGCCCCGCTCTGTCACTTCACCTGTTGCTGTCACCGGCCCTGGGGCTGCCCCCCCATCCCCCGGCCCGGGCCTGTCATTGCCCCTGCCCTTGTCCTGCCTGTGTCCGGCCGACCCCGGCCTCCGGCCGCTGCCACACCCCTTGTGCCCTGGCGCTGCCCGGGCCCCTCGTTGCCTCCCCCGCCCCTGGCCGGCCCCGGGCCGCCGCCGGCGCTGTCACTTCCCCCGCCCCAGCCCGGGCCGGCACTTCCTGGGTCCTCCTCCTCCCGGCCCTCCCTCCCTCCGCGGTCCTGCGCTCATGCCCCTGCCAGGCCTGGCCTGGCTCCCCTTTCCTCGGAAGGGGCGGGTGGATGGACTGTCACGGAGCCTGCCGCTGGACTTTGTCCCCGAGCGCTCCGCTCCCCGGTCCGCCTTTCTGTCCAGGAGGCCGGCCGGCCGGCAGCGCCTTCTCCTCCCCGGGCGGCGCCCCTCTCCCCCTGCCCAGCCGGTGGTGTCACCCAGTGCCCTCCCCTCAGTCATTTCCCTCGAGGGCTGCCCTGGGTCCCAGCTGTCTGGCTGTGTTGGGTCCTTTGGTTCCGAGCCCACCTTCGGGGGCTGTGGAGCAGGCCCTTGCCTCCGTGCCGCCGCTGCTGCCTTCATGCGGGCTGTCAGTCAGCCCCGGTGTCCCCTGGAGTCAAGCTCTGGCCGGCCCTTCAGCGGCTTCTCGTTCTCCATCTTCTGTTAACAGCATGGATTATTCCTTTTTGGAGCTTGTCGCGTTTCTTCCTCAAGGCCCTTCCTGAGTCCCCGACTGCATGGGCGACTCGGGTTCTCCCCTGGACCCTTCCTGGGCAGGCTAACGCTGAGGTGATTTCTGCTAATAACAGTCCCTCTCAGTTATTCCCTGTGTGCTTTCTTTGCCCTCTCAGAGTTCCCCTATTTATTGTTCCTTTTCCTCAGAAATGTGTGTCCACCAAAGGCCGCCTTCCCTTTCCCACTGGTTTTGGTAGTTTGGGCCTCCTTTGGTTCTTTTTTTTCTTTTTGTCACTGGTGCTCCGTACGAGTTACTGATGGACTCTGGGGGACAAGAAAGCTGGTGTCGTAGACTGTCCTGGACTTCGGGGCATAATAATGCTGGGGGACTCTGCCCTGGCCAGCCTGTTTCTGGAGCAGTATTGTGGTCAGGTCTAGGCATTTGCATCTCAGAAAGGACCCTAGTGAATGAAGCTGGAGAGCTCTGAGAGCAAGGCAGGCAAGCTGATAAAGGACTTCAGGTTCATGCCATCAGAGGCAGCAGCTATGGCAGAGAGAGTCAGGAAGATCTGGGTTCCAGGCCTCTGACACCTACTGGCTCCAAAACCCTGGGCAAGCTGCTGAGCCTCTCAGTTCTCCAGGAACCTGGGTGATTGTAAACAAATGGTTCTGTGAAGTTTGGATTCAGTCAAAGAGCTGCACTGGAGGACCTGGAGGGCCACATGTGGCCTCCAGGCTGCAGGATCTCCCCAGGAGTTCCTTTCCCCAGTGACATCACAGGCCTGCAAGGGGGAAGATAGTATCAATTGAAGGAGCTGGAGATGTTTAGTCAAGAGATTAGTGGGGCCAGTGGGCAGCAGGATTGCTTTTTCAGAGTATTTGAAGTAAAATGGCCCATGGAAAAAGGTAATAGTTCTGCTTGGTGCTGCTTGTTTCTGGTTTGGCTTCACTGGTTGGTTTTTTCTGAGGGCCATTTCGACTTTTCCTGGGTTCTCCTTTGCTTCCCCAGCCAAGTGGGCCCATTGCCTGTTCCTGCTTTACTTTTGTAAGCCTTTACCCTCTCCTTCACTTTGTTTCTTTGGAGGCTGCATCATTACTAGTAGAAAACAGATTGCAGAATTTCAGTTTTCAATCTGCCACGTACCATATATAACTTCAAGCAGATGTCATTTGTGAAATATATATTAAAAGTATTTGGTCAAGAGAATTTTTCCTTTAAGTAGGAGTTGGTTAGACTGGATGGCCACGGATCTTTTGGATCCCCTTTTGGAAGCCCCTTCCAGCTCTTGGGATTCTTGGATTCTAAGAGGCTCACCAACGTCTGGTGGTGGGGGTGGTTAAATCTTTGGTAAAGTTGTCTGGGGAAAAAATATCATAGTTTCAGGGCTTGTTTCCAAAGCAGTGTGTTCAGAGTCAGGCCAGCTTTTGGCCCTTCTCTGGGAGCCATCTCAGCTCTGAAGTAGTGACAGTTGAAATGCTTAGGGGTCTCTTTCCCCAAGACAGAGGACGGGGTCCTCTTGTCGATGGAGTCAGCCTTGGGAGAACAGCTAGAAAGTTGTGCTTGCCCTGGTTTGGAGCATGGCACTGCTTTCCTTTTGTGCCTCAGTCTGGGAGTCATGCAGTATATGGGTTTCTCCCTTGGGGACATATTTTGTCAGAGTTCTTTTCATTTACTTTTAATTTTTAGATTTGTTGGGCTAATAAGCTTAGTTTCTTGGCTAATTTTCAAGAGTGGCATTCATTTTCATTGGGATATTTAGGGCGGAAATGGCAAATTCTTTTTGGCTTTGCCCCTATCCTTCTTTATCCCTATAGAAGTGATTGGGAAGAATAAGGTATAAGCAAATTGTTAATTAGAGAGCTTAATTAGTAAATGTTAAAAGTGTTTTGAAATTGAATATATTATTTAAACTATGTATTTAATGTAGTTAATATTGTGGCCATTTTCTTGTGATCCCATTTCAGCAATGTAAGAACCAGTGGATTTGGCAGGGTGATCCACAGAACCAGGGAATGTGGTGCCTTAGATTGGTTGGTTTAAGGTAATGAAAATTTAAAATTTTGGGTTTTTTTCCCCTCCAAAGTACTTTTATGAGATTCTTAATGTAGTAGAGAATAGCTTAATGTAGAGAATAGCTTTTGCCTAATCTTTCTAATCTATTACAGTAGTCACTGTTTCATATTCATAGTGCCCTAGTGATGTAGTTTAGTAGAGTATTATTATATCACAAATGGAGAAACTGAGGCACAGAGTAGCTGTGTAAATTGCCCAGAGTCACATAGGCTATTCAGAGTGGGACTACCATTAATGATAGGACCATCAAGCCAGGTCTTCTGGCTCCTCAGTTTTTTCTTCTGTATTCATTCTGCCTTTCATGTGCAAGTGTGGTTTGTCATCTTGAGATTTATTCCTAGAGAGAAATGACCGAAATTTCTGACCTGCCTGCCAGCATAGTACATTATGAAGACTTACTGAATTAAGAAATGTTGAGGCAGATGAGGGTGAAACCATTTCCTTCCCTTTGTTTCTTGCCATAGACTTAGACCTGGGGTAAAAGCCAAAAGTATTAATTCTGAAAAGTTCCCCCCCTCAAAAAAAGAAAGAAAGAAAGAAAGAAAGCATCACTGCCACCATCACCATATGCCTTTAAAAATGAATACTGAAGGTCTTGCTGGCTTGGTCTTCTTCGTTATCTTCCTTTACGTTGTAACACTCCAGTGTCTGAAGAGGAATACACATGACTGGGAAAAGAACAGAGTATCCATTAGCTCTCATTACATTGGCCTGCTTTGGGTGAATTTACATTGAAGTGAATGCTCTGAAGATTGAGGAGTCTGTGACTGAGATGTTGAATTGCCTGGTTGATAGATTAGTTGTGTTTTCTCACCAAACAGAACCGACTTCTGTCTTCTGTAGATAATCTTGCCCCCAAGCAGAACTAGCACTGATTTTGGTGAAAGAGTTGCTTTGAATGGGGATCTGTGTTCTAAGGAGCATTCTCTGGAATAGAGGCCCAAATCAAGACTCTCCATTTCAGATTGATATCCTGAAAGTGACTTTTGGTGGTAGCCCCGTAGGAGCCTTCGCCTTTGCGCCCGCTTATCTCGGATGCCCAGGGCTCCTCTGCTCATTTCCCATCACCATCTGCAGAGTGTGAGGGAGTGCCTGTCTAGGCCTGACTGTCCTATGCCAGCCTCATGTGCCAAGGGAGCCTGTGGAGCATCAGGCTCTCCAGAGGGCTTTGACCTGATCCTGCGATTGGAAAGGACTTTCTGGGGATCATGTGGTGAACAACAAATGAAGTGTGTGGGGCTACGTGGTCTAGCCCATAATTAAAAAGATCTCCCCAGTGTAATAGATCCGGCAGGTGATCCTCCCACTGCTGTTGAGGCTGCTCTGGTTCTTAGGAAGTGTTTCCCAACATTGAGCCTCAGTTTACCTACACTGCACCTGACTGTCTTCCAGAGCCAAACAGAACAAGTCTAATTCCTCTTTTGCATAGTAGAGCGTGACTCTTCTGTCTCCTCATTCCCTGCACTCCAGAGTCTTTTCATGTCCAGGCTAAATATCCCTTTTTCCTTAAACCAGTTCTCAAATGACATGAGCTTGAGAGCCTTCTCTGTCCTGGTTAGCCTCCCTGCAAGCCTTCAGGCTAATCAGTGTTCTGCCAGAGACTAGGCAGGGTAGGACAGCAGGACTCTTATCTCTTTATTCCAGCCTCCTTTCGTGCAGCTCAAGATCATATTATTAGCCATTTTGGCTCTTGACTCAGCCTGGAAGCCATTGACGTGCCAGTGCTTTTTTCAGAGAAGCTGCCATTTACCTAGGCCTCTGCCATCTTGAATTGGGGGAGCTGATTTCTTTTGAGCCCAGCTGTAAGATTCTACATTTATCCCTGTTGAATTTTATCGAATTCAATTCGGTCCTGAGATTTAGCCTTGCCAGGATCTTATTAGTGATCTTCCCCAGCTTTGAGTAAATTCCCAATTTGATGTGTTCCATAGACGTCTTTATCCAAGTCAGGAATAAAAATGGGAGCCGCAAGAGGGCCAAGCAGAGATCCCTGAGGCGCTGCCCTGGGAGCTGACAGTGCGCTCTCTCTCTTTTCATCAATTGCAATTTATTTTTGAAAGTAGAAAGTGAATGCTGCAACATTCTAAAGAGCAAGGTTGGCCCCAGAAGACACCTCCCTCTGATTCTTTTCAGAGATGGGGGGGGGGCCCTGATGTAACAACTAACTTGTCTCTGAGTCTTGCCCTCCAGACAGTTGGAATCCCTGTAATTGTGTTATCACCCAGTCTGTGCCTCTTCAGCTTGTCTACAAGAGTGGCACAAGAGGCTGCCGAATGCTCTGCTAAAATCTAGGGAAGCAAAGTTTGCAGCATCCTCTGATCTAGCAGTTTCAAAGGAAAATGAAGGGATTGCTGCTTCCTTTTCTAAATGTTCACTGAGCATCTCTCTTCTTTTTGGCCCAGACCTGTGATTTTATTAATATTAGTGAGTTCCCAGTGAACAGACTCCTTCTATTGATGCAGGCTGTCAACTGTCCTGAAACTTAGTCTTGGAGTGGCTGGGAGACATTGAGAGGTTGAGTATATTGCTCCGGGTCACGCAGCCCATGTGTGTCAGAGGCAGGATTTGAAGCCATATCTTCCTGTCTTGCTGTCTATCCACAGTGGCATGCTGCTTCTCTACCTATCTCTAATGATCCTTTCTAGCATTCTTCTAGGTGCCCTGGCCAAGCTCCCTGGCCTGTGGTGTACTGATTCTAATCACTGCCCTCTGCCCTTGGGACAGGACTTTGTTATCCACTGCTGCTTGCTCTCCTCTTTGTCACAGTCTTTGAGACAGCGTCCATGGTGGTCCAGCAGTCCCATGCATCCGTCCTCTCTGTGTACGAGGAGGAGGTTTGTTTAGGCCAGTGGCAACTGAGCTCCTCTCTTTTTTGTCTCTTTACTTCTTTTGAGGATGGAATTCCCATTAGCCATTTTGGCTTGCACGTTTTCAGCGCAAAGGTTATTTTCTTTGGCAGAGAAACTGGAAGCAAAGTCAGTATCCCAGGCACCCCACACAGCAGCCCTATGCCTTTGTTGATACCTCTTTTCACCCAGTG